TATATACATATACATACATCAAAATATTTACGTAAATATAACAAATATGCATCAACAAAAAATAAAATAAATAAAAATAATCATTAAAAACTAACATTTTTCATTCCAATGAACACCCAAAAGAGAAAAAAACAAAAAGACACAAACCAAAGTAAATTATTCAAACATAGGCATTAAAAACTAACATTTTTCATTCCAATGAACACCCAAAAGAGAAAAAAAAAAAAAGACAAAAACCAAAGTAAATTATTCAAACATAGGCTGCCCATAACTTTTCAAAAACAAAGTTTTGACCCTTCTTCTAAATGAATGAATAGTACCAGTAGTTTTGAGGTCCTTTGCTAAACAGTTCCAGATTTGTTTAATCTCAGAAGAGTTTAAGTGAACAAAAACAAAACAACATAAAAACATCCTGCAGGCAGCTTTACTTGTGGTTTTCTAACTACCAAGGGGCAGTCCTGATGTTTGGCAGTGCCTGGCTGACTTGTGTAATGTCCTGGCACACGTGGACCACGAGGAAGTACCTCTGTACAAAGTCGACAGTGATGAAGGTGAGGGAGACGAGGAGCTGACGTTACTTCAGCTGAAGGAAGACAAGCTGCTCGCTGGCTTTGTACCTCTGTTAGCTGCACCGCAGGAGCCGTGTTACACAGATAAACACACCGACATGGTGAGTGGGCGTCATTTCATTATTCTGTGTTCATTTGCATTATGCAGTAACAGCGTATGTTGCACCTTTTAATCCTTCAATATGTGTGTGTTCATGTACATACGACCTTCATCCTCTTTCCTCAGGCGATAGCAGCAGATTGTAAGAGAGTGACGGTACTGAAGTATTTTCTAGAGGCTTTGTGTGGACAGGAAGAGCCTCTGCTGGCCTTCAAGGGAGGCAAATACATCTCTGTTGCAACTTGTCCTCCACCTCAACACTCCGACACGAGGAGCAGGGAGAGCTCTCCAACAGAGAAGGAGGTGACTCCTGTTATTAGCTAATCTTCCCCCAAACGGCAAGCTGGATTAAAGTTTTCATATGATTGAACCTCCACACTTTGTTTCATCTTCCTCTGTGTCCATTCTGCAGTCTGACGATGTCATACTCGAGGCAGCGTCGTCCCCCTCTGCGTCAGGAGAGGAGGATTTCGAGGAGACGGGAGACAGTGAGAACGACATCAGAGAGCTAAAGGCGCGGCGCCACGCCCTGGCTAGCAAACTGGCCCAGCAGCAGAAGCGCAGGGACAAAATCCAGGTGAAACAAGCAGATTAGTTTAATCTCAAACATCATGAATCAAAAGTTGTGTTTAGTTGGAAAAATCTCTCTAAACCAGTGTTAAATTTTACAAACCTGACTCTGTGTAAACAGGTGTTTTCAGTTTTAGCTTRTTTTGAAGGTTTTTGACCCTACTACACAGCTTTGACATGGTTCTTGGTGGTTTTCAGTACTTTTCAGCCCTCCTAGACCCATGTCACATGGTTTTTACTGGCTTTTGGTGGTTTTGAGTGTCACGTATGTATGAATCAAACAGGTAAACTGAGCTTTGTTGAGTTAGTTTTGGTGTGTTTGTTTCAGGCCGTGCTGCAAACTGGTGGACAGCTGGAAATGGAAGTAAAGCCTTTGTTTTTGGTGCCAGATACCAACGGGTTCATTGATCACTTGGACGGCCTGAAGAAACTCCTCCAGTGTGGAACATACATAATAGTTGTGCCCCTCATTGGTAAGAAGGACAAGACTACCTCAAAAAGCAGGTATTTTGTGTAGAAACTATTTTCTTCTAACATGATTTTTATTTTATGTTTCCTGCCAGTGATCACAGAGTTAGATGGCTTGGCTAAAGGCCAGGACACTTTTGGTGGAGGAGTGGGGTTAGYGGGGCGCGGCACCGGCAGCCGTAGCACTTATAATATCAGCGTGGCCCACATGCGGGGTGTTCAGGAAAAGGCTCGGTTAGCTGTGGCGTTTTTGGAGAAAGGATTCGACGCCAGGGAACCGTGCCTAAGAGCCCTGACGAGCCGAGGATATCCGCTCGAGTCGATTGCCTTCCGCAGTGAAGACACCTCCGGACAACAGGTAAAGAACTTTACTCTATAAAAGTGACACTAAATAAAAGGGATCCACGATTTGATAAATATTTATTTTAACTGTAAAATAAAGACTGTAAAA